AACTAATAGCTTTCTTATGTGTATTACATTATTTTAACAACCCCAAAGTCATTTAATACAATTATGCAAAGTGCACTGAGAGATTTAAAATATTGTTTAATTAATAACTAATTTAAATTGCGTGCTATTAACATTGTAAACTCAGAAAATGAACTTTCGCTGCAGGCATTAACTGGATAATGAACGAACTGATTCAAATAAGATTTAATTAATGACAAATACACATAATTATTATTAACAGTCAAGCTTTTTGTAACTGATGGAGGGCGTTAGTGTACTTGGTGAGACCCCATGGAGACTGAAGCTGGACTCTAACCCAGGACCTACAAGGCCACAGTTGTGGCAACAAGAAGTCAGTAACACTGTTGTAAATTAGAAGTGTTTTAGAAAAAACGGCTGTATGATTGACATGCATTGGTTTCCTCTATCTTGTTGTTGTCTTAAAATATCTGTAAACCATCACAGATAGACAGCCTAATCATTTTACAGCAGTCCTAAATCTTTACCAGCAGATATAGTATATTGGGCTTTAAAATTCACAGGAAGCTGGTGGAAAAGAGCATCAAGATAAAGCTCTAAAATCCCGAACCGTGGAGCTCTCCTAATCCCCCACCTGCATTTCCACAGCCGTCAGCGAACAGCAGCCCCTCCATATCGCCTGAGAGGGGGATTTACTTGTAATGCTCTCAGAAATACAATGCATAAAATGGAGTGTCAACTCTAACAAGCTGTTCTTGGGGGCAGCCTGTCTGGCCTCTGCGTCTGACAGGGTCCGGGCTCAGGCTCAAGAGGTTAGTGGCTGCACAGCGGTTTAGCATTTGATCCCACAGTTACCCAAATTTCAGAGACAACTGTGCAAATTGGGATAACCTGGGAAGCCAGACGGTGCATTTGGAGAGGCAACAGCTGCATAAGCCCATTCCCTGGCTGCAAGAGAAACTTTATCAGGGGAAGTAGAGGTTGAAATTTAATGGTGGCTAAGCTGCCTCCATGAAATTGTGAAAACAGAACCTTGTGGCACAGCTCAGGGTGGATTTAGGAGTTTGCTTTGTGGTTTTTCTTGTCATAAAAATAGAGGAAAGTAAAGACTTTCTGGTTGTACCATGGTCATGTGATTCCTTATTCCAAACTGGATTTTTTTCTTTTTGTCCCCTAGATAAAATTTTGAATAAGTTCCATTTTCAAAGTCAGATCCAATCTCTTCAGGGCTGTGGATTTTACCAACTTCAGCCATAAAAACTACCTCATTTTTTCAGCCATGTAGGTCTTTTGTATCATATTTGTGAATTTTCCACTAAGATAACTTTGCAGGAAGATATTTGCAGCCCCTAAGCTTCTTCCAACACATAACATCTTTGGGGTAAGTCAGCTTCTTTATTCTATTCTCAGATGTCTTTTTCATCTCCAAACTCTTCTGTTTGTTCATGCATGGCGATGTGTTTCTTTGTACGGAGTGAATTTACATATTGCCTGACGTATAAGCTTGAGTGGCAGCATGCTATATGAACAGGCTCTGGTGTAAAGCAATTAAATACACAAGCGATTTTTATTTGTTGAAATTATAAAACAGTGAAAGTGTGCGGTGAGCATTTTGGAGAGGATAAGCAAACCTTCTTTGCCGTTCTGGAATACTTTTCATTTAGTATTTTCAGTTACACTGTGACTAAATCACTGTGAACTGGACATCAATGAAATATGTGAATTTGCTCCTAACTTGTCATTTATTTTACTTATTTTTAGGAAACCTTGTTTAGTGTTTTTTCTTGAATTTCCTATCCTTCATTATTGTTTTATATTTTTTTTTATCAAACTCAGGGGCAGAGCTGATAGCTAATAACAGGTATAAGGACCAGAGTTCCATCATATTTCTGCTCAAATAAAAAGAAAAAGTAGTTTTTAATTTTTCTTCCTTTAAAGCAACAAGATCTTCTGTTTCCTTTATGTAAATAAAATAAATAGTTACATTTTTGTAATAATGTTATCAATGCAATGTTTTTTGATTATTTTGATTCATGGAGTTTTCATGTTGGAAAAATCTCTAAGTAGTTTTAAAGTACATGTTATAGATGTTTGCTGGTCTTTAAAAAAAAAACAAAAAAAAAAACACAAAAAGCAGGAAGTTTATATTAGCTGGTTTTTCACTCTTGTTGACTGCCTTTGTGTGTTAACACAAGAAATACATCCAGATAAATTGTTCTCCTGCAAGCAAGGGGAAAATGTTAAAGTCTTTTTCAGCCAGCTGGTTAGCAGTGCACAGCAACAGGTGGGTAGGGGCCATGTGCTTTTAATTGAATTCTTCCAAAGAAAACTATTTCTAGCATCTCTTTCAAAGGGTTTTAAATTGTAGAAACACCATTAAAAAACAACTTATTAATTTCATGACCATAACTTCATAAAACCTTGGATTGCCTTAATACTGTCAGCCAACCCACTCCTACCCTGCAATTAGAATAATTTAATTGTTAAGGAGTACTTATGTAGTCAGGGGGGTACAGTTAAGCTGGAAAAGTTTTTTTTTGTTTGTTTTTTCTTTCAGTAAGACTCCTTTTATTTTGTTAAATCTTTATGAACCCCCCCCACCCCCCAAAAAAAGAAAGGCAAGAGTGAACAACATATCTAAATATGCAATTATAAGCTCATAGTAATGTTAAAAATCTGCCCCTTAAGGTTTTTCTTACCTGCCACTCTTTCATTGCTTTGGTGTGCTGCACTATTTTCCAACTTTCAGTGCTGCAGATCCTCATTCTCATACTGAAGTAGAAACACCATATCCCTTACCTCTTACATGTCCCAGCACAGGTAAACACAGAAACCAGACAGTGGTTTATCGTTCCTTTACAGGAAGAACTGAAATGTACACATTATTTTATAATTAAATAAGGTTTTAAGGGCAGAGAACTTATAAAAAATCTTATGTATTACAGAAAAGCTAAGTGAAAAATCAACCCATTTCGATTTAGTTATTTTAATCTTTCTTCTGCAAAACAGTTCAATATAATGCAACATTATGTCAATTTTTTAAAACTTTGTATGTAAACACATCAAGCTTTTTCTGTAATCACCTTTAAATTCTCTCCTCTATGTTAACATTTAGATTATAATTAATATTCAAAAGAATTCTAACATCTAACATGGCTATAAGAAAAAAAAGCCCCACCAGTGTTTGAATTTGCATCAGACACTAATGTTCAGTCTATTCATTTTGTGAGAAAAATTTAAACACATTTTTCCTGTTTTCTACTCCCTCATCTCAGACCTGCATGATTCAGAACTGATGTTGATTTAGAGCCTGATATTTAAAGCTTTAAATTAAACTAAAGGTTTATGTATTAAGTGAACACTGTCAGAAAACACAGATTCCTCATACCTTTTTCATAAAATCAGCTATTAAGAGGTGCATGCATGCCTATGGTTCCTTCAGAATTTTATTTGCAAGAATTTCACAATGATCTCAGACAAACCACCACCTCAGTGAACAGCAGTTACAAGTTGCCAAATTGTTTGATTAAAGCCCTAAAAAATGCTGACATGATTACAAACTGGACCACATTTTACTTCATCACAGTCGTCGGATCGTTGTGCTTTGAGCAAATAAACAAAAAAGAATTGTTCCATTTTTCTCAGAAAATAATCAAAGCAGATTTTCTTCACAGCGGCTTCGTCCTCCAAGTGCTTATTTTCAGAGAACGACACGTGAAATTGTTATTTTTTCATTTTTTTGTGTGAAATTTACACGGTTAATTCAGAAGAAATTATTAGGACTGCTTAATTTGTCAAGTAAAACTTCTCTAAATGTGATCGTTTTTACTGCCTAGCTGATAAATACAAAGATGAAAATAACAGCAAAAAGTAAAACTTATTTACCTCTAAACCTGCTTCACTTGAATGGATCAGGTTTAAAAGATGAATCTTGGGTTTGGGGATTAAACACAAAGAGGAAGGTATTAAACGGTGGTGCCTGTTTTCCCAAACATGGGAAAGAACAGATGGAAGTGTTAGGTCTACCTTTTTTTATATATTGTGTTTAAAGGTTGTTTTTTTAAACAAATTAATTTTGCTTGATGTGAATATTTTAGGTTTTATTATTAGTCCTCTACCGAAATTCTAAAATGTAATCAATTTGCTTGCTTAAATTGTTATTTTTTATGAGAAGGTTAAAAATAATTAAGTTTAAAAAAGATGAAAATTTGGTAAAGGTCTTTACTCCTTATATTCAATTTCGTTTTAAATAGATATATACATGTTGGGTCTGTATACATCTCCTTTAATTACTGTGCATGCTTCTCCTGAAATATCAGATTTTTTTTAGGCTCAATTTTCATTAGGCATATTATTTGTATTAGAGCTGCAGAGCAGAAAAGAATACATGAGGAAAAGACACTACCTTTGCTCAGGAGCTGTTGGTCTTAACTACTGGATTTTAAACTTTGTTTAATTGTGACCACCAAGGCTGCCAGTAAATATAAAACCTTAATAAACACAACAAATAAATGTCATGCTTTACATAATTTTCAAAACTTAACTAAGTCTATTTTATTCGTTTAAAATTCTATAAACCTTATTTTCGGGGAAAAGAGGGATTTATTAAGGACTATGATCATCTTGCTATGCTGATTGGTTACTATGCAGGTTTATGCAATGCAGAAATAAAAACAAGGTTGTCACAACATAAACCAGTTCATATATTTTACTAAATGCAAAAGCCTGTTTTGGGGGCGCTGAAAACCTTGAAGGGATTCTGTGTAATTTATTTTGTGTATTCAGTGCCTCTGGTAACTGACCTCACCAGGAGAGAGACTACACATTGTCCACTCCTCCGTCCACACACACACACACCCATATGTGCACAGAACAACCACGTCCACTGTCGGGCCCTATAAATCTGTAAGGGCCCAATTAAAGATCGCCTTCAGCGTGTCCACCCCTACCAGCACACATGTGTTAATAAAGCGACAGAAAAAATAGAGGAAAAAAAAGGACAAAACCCACTGTTTGCTTTTTGTGTTTTGTGTATTTGACACAACAGATTGGAGTGTAAAAATCACTGAAATGAAATGCATATAAAAACAGTGTAAAACACCCAGAAATAAGCTTTAAATAGCAAAGAAAATTAAAACAAAGAAAGAAAAAAACATGTTTTTTTTTGCTGTTACATCAGCTTCTCACACATGTGAAATTTGTGTGACTGAAATCTGGTTTGTAAGGTGCGAATAATACATAAAGCTACATTTTTACAGATGATATGATTTTATAAAAGGCTTACTATTGAGCGGATTGGTGTGTAAGGCAGAGAAAAATAACAAAACATGCATTTTAAACTGAATTTGAGAATCATTGCAAATGTTAATACAATATAAAAGTTGCATTATGAAATCTGAGCATTTCATATAAAAGAAGTGGAAAAATACACAAAAAGAAAAAAAAACTCAATAAAAAAAAAAACAGAAATGTATGATTCTTCTTCATTTGTCTAAGAACAGCAATAGGTGTTACCACAGTGTGCAATAATGTGTATGGAAGACTCAGTGGGTGACATGTTACTAGAAGGGCTGGTTGTGTTGTGACTGCCATGTAAATACCTCATTAGCCCAGGTTAATAGCATTCCAGCACTTAGTGGCAACATAAAGCAGACACCGCCTACGTGTTAAAATTTCAGAAAGAGTCTGACGAACTAAATGTCAACCTGTAAAATTATGCAAGGAGCTAAAAGCGTTTAACTCAGACAGAAATACCAGCACACCCCGAGGATTCGATCTGGAATTATTTATGTCCTTCCAATCAGTAAGGAGCGGAAACAAAGGAATAATTAGACTGCGGTTAGCCGTCCACACTCTCGTGCCTCCCAAATGTGAGATGCGCACCCATTCCCCCTCAAACTTGATGGTTGTTGAACTTATTTTTAGTGTCATTTGATAAGCTTCCCTGCTTGCATGGAGACATCCCACTGACCCAGCCACTGGTCATTGTCTATACCGCTTCCCGTCAAAGCCGGCACGCTTTGTCAGGTTTCGACTCGAATATCCATTCTGCATCTGAAGTACGGTATCCGAAGTGACTAGATCATTCGAGCCTTTTTCTTCAGCTGCTGCCCCCTTTCCTCCCCCACAGTGTTTCCGCTCACACTAACATCATTTAAGATTGGCGTCATGACAGCGCGCTTGAGAAGTCCACAATAAATATAAATATATAACCCCAGATTTTGGGGATGTCCGGGTGGAGGGGAAGAGGGATGGGGGGGCGATGGGCATCATTTCTAGAAATGAACAATACTTATCCGTCCGTCGCATCCGTTGCTTTGGGTTTGCGTTTTGGACGTGGTGGACCGTCACCACGCCGCCGTGTCCTCTTTTTTTGCTGTGGATAACACAGTTATGGGTCATTCAAAGTCAAAAAGGCATAAAAAAGGAGACAGCCAAGTCTTCACAGGCTGCTGCTTGCTGTTGCCTTTAATTATTTTAATTAAACTTTGATATTCCGGTGCTGGGGGAACAGGCGAGTTGTGACGCAGGCCCGGGAGCCCTTCGGAGGATTGAGACTGAGCGGCAGGGAGTACAGCTGTATCTGTAGCTTAAGTCCTAACTGATAGGCCTGTTTATCGGCAGTGATGTGCTACGCCTTACTGAGCAGAGAGCAGACTGCACCCAAAACAGGGGCAAAAAACACCAAGCGCCATGTCAAGGTCTTGAAGGCATCAATCCCTCAAACGTAGCTGGAGATGGTCCCGGTCAGAAGAGTGTCCTGCGGTCGGATAACGCTCTATTAATTTTCTTGTCCCGAGCGCATAATAAAGGGATGGTATGTGTAAAAAAAAAAAAAAAGAAGAGGAAAGTTTGAGTACAGAGTGAGGCCCGGTAGACGTGTAGTGGTTCCAGCAGCAAGAAACATTTTAAAAACCATTATAACCCTGATTTTCTCATCTCATCCACAGTGATGAGCACAAGCTGGTTCTCAGACCGTAGTTCTGCTCCCCTGATGAGGCACACGGCTGAAATTCATACAACGACCCTGAAAATGACAAAAAAAGAGGAAAAAAATGAGCTTTAAAAGTTTGATTTTAGTTTATAATATCTGGTGTACATGTTTGACATTGCTTTTTTTTATTCTTTCTTTTCCTTTTTTCAACAAAAAGAGAAAAACATAAAAGCAAGAAAGCTGTGGTGGCAAACAGATTATTTTATGACCAGTGGAAGTTTGGAAATACATGAAATGGAATCACTCTATATTCAGCTAAACAGTTGAAAACAAAGCATTAACTTATGAACCTGCTTCATCATTAATAAAGTCTGTTTCTTCATTTCCTTTTGCAGAGAGAAAAGCGAAGATCAGGCTCCTGCTGCTTGTCTGAGCCTCTGGCTGCAGCTCGCCCACCAACAGTAGGCTGACTGACACCAAGAGGGAGCTCTCACACAGCGAATCCTCTGCAGCCCCTCAACCAAACACACACACACCCCTATTCTGCTCCTCTGTGCATTGATACTCACTGTAACCTGATTTCAAACAACACTAACCTTCCTAACTCTAAATTATATCTATAAATGTCTGAGATAAACTCGCTACAAATCCTTGAAAGCTGTGTAATGGAAATTTAGCCAAATATTAAAATAAAAAGATCCAAACATGTAATATTGAGGCAAGTATATGTGGGTAAGTGTCACTTTTCAATTTAACCAACTTGAACAAAAACTTTTTTGAACTATTTCTGTGAAATATGCAAATCTTCTTTAAAAGCAGCAAACATTTTAAAAAGGTGACTTTTTGAGATGTGTTTACAATACAGATATAAAAAACAAAATAGAATTCTAGCTCAAGCTCAGGGACACCATTAAACACTTTTGCATTATTGCAAAATTTTAAAATTGACACAACATAGGAAAACTGATGTATTTGGTTTTTGCTTATCAAATATCCTACAGTGTACATAAAATAAGCAAGTAAGATGAAAAGGTTAAAAGCATATCTTACTTTGAAAAAGCTACTGATAAGCATCTTAACAACTGAAAGGACATAATCAATAGTATCTTATTTGTTTATTTTAGCTAAATTAGCTTAAATGTATATTACTGTGAATGTTTGCAATTAGATGCTGAAAAGAGAATCTACAGAAAAAAATATATACACTTTGGGTCTGGAAAAGTTTGAGCTTCGAATGCATATCGCAATGAACTGGAATAAAAAGGATTGGATTAAAACCAACTTTAATTTAACAGAGGTGGAAGGAGTTGTGTATATATGTATATATATATATGAATATATTTAAGCAGGAACATTGCTCATCCTCCTTTAATAGACCTAAAAAACAAAATCAGCTCCAATCTGACCTTTTCCCTGAAAGTTTGGGTCTAATTAGACAATATACAATGATAAAGATCAATATACAATGTGACCGTCTGATCCAGCAATCTCATGGATTAAAGAAGACGAAACAACATATTTGTGTGATGTCTTTAGTAACAATACCAAACATTAAACTAAAAGTGACTCTGAAGGAAGTGATAAAACATTTATAGAATTATGCACCAGCTTTTGTTCTTGGTGTTGAAAGTATTACATTTTTTCTGGATCTTAGGTCAGGTGAGTTTTTGAACATGCTTGCTGTTCATCTTTATCATGTATTAAACCAGCAATGTTTCCTATATATATGGAGGCCTGAGCAGGTTGAATTCTGCTTTTTAAGCAGAAACTTGTGTCTGCAGGACCATCTGCCACAGAAGCACATTTGTAGAAAAAGAATAAAATAGTAGATCTTAATTTTGATTGCAGATATTGGACTGACTGATTGAGTTTGATCTGGCACTGCATTTGATTTGAAAGAATTAGTTTGCTCATCTGTGTGCACACATTTGGGCGGCACACCTGCTTCATTCTTTAAACAGAAAACAAAAGCACATTCTTTCACATTTAAACCTCCCTGATTCCCCATGGACGCGTATCTACTTGGTTACCGAGGACAGTCATTGTCCGGATGACGAGCTCCTGAAGGTTAAAGTCTGACCCACTGCTGCAAAGACAGAGTTCCTGCCCGACAATCTGGCTCAGGAGCCAAATATACACTGACCGACTGTGACGAGGGCTTTAAACGAGCTGGAGTATCTTCCATTTCCCGTTATTTGGCAATGCTGGTGGGTGTTTGATAGAGGGGTGGGGGCCCCGCTCCATATCTGCATGGTAAGCCCCTCGACGTGTACCCTCTGCAACTAATCTCACACAGTCAACAAATAAGGCACATCAGATGCTGTTTTGGCTGCGGCCATCGCAGCGGCTAAGTTCAGTGGATTTTACGGGTTTAACAGCGCAGGGCGGGGGCTCAGCGGAGGCAGAACGGCAGGCGAGGCGGGGGGTATCTGCTGAGGGGGGTGAAGCAGGTGTGCCACAATACGGTCAAACCCATTCCAGCTTCTCTGTTTCTGGGACAAAGGGGGGGTTCAACTTGGCAGGGAGTGGTGCTTTGTAGCCAGGGCCATGTTGGAGAAGACGGGGCCCACCTGTGCCACCCAGAGTGAAAAAACAGTAGTCTGAATATGTCTGTGTGGATCATCAGAGAAAATTCATCAGACGGACGGAGGGGAGCGTGACGGGAGGTAGACGGGTGGATGAGTCAGGTGGAGAGACAAGACAGCGAGAGGGTGGGGGTCAGAGGGACTTTTCCAAATGAGGGCTGTGATTAATAAGGTTCATTACAGACACTCCACTAGCTTCCTGTTGGAGCTAATGGGAATATATTAAATGGCCACATCAAATTAAACTGATTAAAGCCACATCTATTCTTAATTTAAAAGAGAGGTTCAACATGGCACCAAAAGTGAACACTGCAAGAGGCTCTATGTAAGAAATAGCTTTAAATACATTGATAACAAAAAATGATATATAATTATACTTTTAATTTTAGATTATGTCTGTTAAGCATTCTGATAATTATATACAGGCTGAAGGACTTTAAGCTGTTTTATGTTAAATACGAATAAATCTATGTCACAAAATCCATTTTATCATATAAGATGAACAGGTATTAATTCATGGAAATTATGTCAAGTGTTGTTACAGAATACAGATTTAACTATCCAAAGATTTTGAATAAAAAATCATCTAACGTTAAAAGTTTGAACATATTTAAATCATCTCTAATATTTTAGAATCCAGAAGAAAAAAAAAACAAACCTTGGCATGTTCTTGAGATTTTTCCTATGCAGCAAACTCAGCTTAAAAAAGGATATAAGCTTCTACAAATTTTAATATATAGATTTCTGTTTTAGCAAATTTTTTGTTTTAATTTACTTCATTTTTGTTGCCTATAAAGAACGTTGAATTAATTTGTTTATGGATGATTCCATATAAATATGCTGGTTCTCAAGCCTGGATAAGGATATGAAATACAATACATATGTTTTTGCAGGTACGCTAGTCTACCACTATACAAATCTTTCAAAAAGTCATTACAAGTATTTGTATTTTTACTTTTAAAGCCTTTATATTTCCAGATTGCCTTGGCTGCACTTTCAATATAACAAATGCTTGTTATGTTCTGTCAAAAACCCACAATGGTTCTCTTTTTTTCTAACCTGGTCTGTTTGTCATACCTGATAAAACTATGCAAAGATGGCGTTGAGTGACCTGTGGTGTCTTGATACACTTTAACTAGATGTCTGTTAAGTGTGTCAAACGGTTAAAGGCAGCAACTTTCATTGTATTATGTGTGATTTAAAGGACCGTTCCAACTGCTGCTCTGTGCAAAGAAATCAAAAGTATTTATTAGGCTCTAAGATCCTAACAATCTAATATATAGCTAAAATAAGCAGTAACATAATGGGACCTCTTCTGAAAAACCCACACAGTCTATGACGTTACTGGCCTTCAGGCTTCAGTTCCTGTCTGAGCCACTTCAACCAATCTTCCAAAGAAATCAAACATTTTTCACTTTTTAAGAGTAAGAAAACTTTTAGAGGACATTAACATCTAAATGAGTTCCTGAGTATCCTGATTACCTAAATCTAATTCACAATTACACTTTTCAACCCATAGAATGACTCTGAACTCTTCCACTAATTAATTAATAAATCAATCAGAGTGAATCAATTGTCTACTAGCTCAACAAATCTGCAATTTGTATCTGTTTGCTCAGAACAAGTTTGAAATTAGTCTCCTTCAAAGTGTTCTTTTTTGGAAAGAAATAGAAGGAAATAAACACAGCCGATGGAGTATTAGCTTCTCTCCAAATATTTGTACTGGCTGGGTGAATTAATTGACTGTATAGTGTGTAACATTTACGAAATAAAAGACAAAAGATGGTGGAAAAGAAGCTTCTATTTAGGTTGCAGAACGAATCTCCCATCTGGACTGGAGTGTGAAAACACTTGCAAGCATGAGAGTTGTAATCCAGTTGCAAGATGCTTATTTTGCAGTGATAAGCTTCAGGCTTTGAAAGACTTTATTACCAGAACAGAGACTTTTTTTTCCCTCCACATTGGAGCTTCGCAGCCCATACAGTATCTTAGTTAATCTAGGTTTTACTAAATCCAACAGAAACGGGGCACTTGCACAACAACTAACTACTTTTTCTAACTCTAAGCTATTGCTTTGGAAACATTTTATAAAAAAATATATAATTATTCTAGTAGATTGTACTTGACTGTAGCTAATAGGTCTATTAATTGGTGTGTCAACTATTTGTGTTTTCTGCTGTTCCAGTGGCACACAAACATAGATGTATAAACGTACAACCAATTAGAGCAATCAGAATAAGGTTTGATTGCCAGGTTAACGATGAAGAAGCACTGATCCGATAATTACGTAGATTAAATATCTGCTCCGATATTGACTAAATAGTTTCATCGGATATTGGATGAATGATGCTGATCCAGCTCTGCGAATACGTAATCTTGTAGAGCACACATAGCAGCTGGTGATAATTTATGTCTTACCTTTTCTTTTCTAACAATGTTTATGCCATGCATGATATCTTAACTCACATGGTAAGGTATACGGCTAATTCATTCAACAGTATCATTGGG